TTGAGCTTTCATTTTCAAGCCTATCTATAGGGAGTAAGATCTCATAATAATCTGCTGCACTCTGTGAAGATGTTCAAAATGGGATTATTTTGCTTCCTAAAAATTATCCCTCCATCCTGTCTCTTGAGAAAGGTTCCTAAATATGGATTCTGGGTTTTTTTCCTGACTTCAGTAAACTGTGTGGTCTTAATGAAATCTAGGGTGGACGTAGCCATTGATAGGTTTGATGAAGATACTGTTCTGATAAATGGGTGACTGGTTTGTCAGGAATAGAATTGGTAAGCAGAATCTCTTTGTATTGAACCCTTACACCAATATTTTGGACATCCTAAGGCAGTAAGATGGGGATTACATATCTCATTGGTGAGAAACAATGAAATGCTTGGTGCTGAGAAACAATGAAATGCTTGGTGCTGTTCTTGTTGATTGACCTCTCATGTTGAATGAAGAAATATTCCAATGTCTGTTTCTATTTATTAGAATCTCATTAAAATCATATAAATCATGATTTCCTTGCCTTTTCCTTTAAAGATGTGAAATGGTACATTCTCCCTTTTTTGGTGGGGGTGGAGTTTGGGGTTTGTAACCTATAGCTAATTCTGGTTGCTTCTGTATATTAATTCAGTGGAAAGCATCAGTTCAGCAGAGAGAGTACAAAACTGTCTGACAGGAAAATACCCTATTGCCTTTAAAGTCACATAAATATCTAAATAATGGTCTTTACTTTGCTGTGAACTTTATAGATAAAATAATTTTCTTCTGTAATTGTGTTGCTACTGGCACATAGTTTATTGGCCACATTGGGATCACTGTTCTAAAGAATCCATCCATTTTACTGAGTCCTTACTAAAGAGTCAGGAAAAAGTACTCCTGCTATATTCTAGATGTAGCCTGGTAGTTCAGCATGGTATTCTTCTTACTGAACAGATAATTGATTTCTCTAAAACTGATTTCAGGGGTTTCTGGCAATATGCAGCCTCTCCTAGTGACCATCTTTTGCAGATTTTACATGTTAAATGGTTGAACACCATGATATGAAATAATATTAGACACATATTTTATATTTTCAGTGTATTTTGAAAATGGTTTGTTTGCTGTACAGGCAACACAGTAACTAAACAAATAGTTTTGCAGTAAAGACAATAATCCCATAGAAAAGTTGAGGGTTTATTTGAATCATCATACTTAACAACTCAGATTATTGTAGTAGAGGCAAAACTATGGACTACAAGACTTTGTCTCATATTGTTTAAGAAATCTGTCTCATCTTGTTTAAGGAATCTGTTCATATTATTTATAATCATTAACTTTTTTTCTGGTCTTGATGTCTATGAATACCTTAGCTTTGTTCTGGATATTGTGGCTGAAATAAACTCAAATTTCTAAACATATTTTAATCATCCATTTAGAAGCAGAACACTGAAAAACTCTAGAGGTTCTTCTTTGATTTTATCTGTATTTTTTCTCTTATTAGAGAGATTTTTGGGGTAAATTAAATATTTTGGTACTTTTTTTTTTTTGTATAATTTGTAGTATAGCAGATTATATCCTATTCTGTCAGATCCCATAAGAAAATTCAAATGTAAAACTCTTTGCCAAGAAAAAGATAAGTTACGTGATGGAGAGAAAGTAGCCAGCACTTCCTGAGAATTCTGTTTAGCAGTTTGCAATTAACTTTAGCAGACAGGGTCCATGAAATGTGAGGATTAGAATGGACTTCACTGGAATTCATAAGAAACTTACTATATCTCAACTCTTGATTGTATCATTTAAATGTAAAACAGTTTTAAAGGTATTTTGTAAGAAAACAAATTCTTCTTCTCCATTTGCATAAAACACATTCCCAAATATTGCTAAGGAAAGAGGGCAGTATACATTTGTATACATAGCTGAAACAGCTTTGGGAAAGGGGGTATTTTTGTTAGTTCTCCTATTAGTGAATTTTGCTTTCTATTTTTCATGTATAAGCAAGTATCAACTGTTGCTATTCTTGGTAAGGGAGTAGACCTGAAAGAGGTAACCTGTTCTGAGTTGTGAGACAGTGTGTTTGAGTGTACCTTCAGCAAGAGCCCAGAAAACACCAATCTGAGTGGTGCAGTTGACATGCCTGAAGGGATGGAATGCCATCCAGAAGGACCTGGACCAGTTTGAGAAGTGGGTCTGTGGGAACTTTCTCAGGCTCAACAAGGCCCAGTACAGGGTCCTGTGTCTGGGTTGGGGCCACGCCCAGCATCAACACAGGCTGGGTAAGGAGGGGATTGAGAGCAGCCCCTGCAGAGGGTTGGGAGTGCTTATAGATGGAAAGCTGGACATGAGCCAGCCATGGGAATTTGCAGCGCAGAAATCCAGTTGTGTGCTGGGCTGCATCCAAAGCGGCATGGGCAGCAGGGCAAGGGAGGAAATTCTACCCTCTTCTCCATTCTTGTGATCCCCACCTGTAGCTCTGCATCCAGCTCTGGGGCCCTCAGCACAAAGAAAGGGGATGCAAGACCTTTCTGTGAGGAAAGGCTGAGAGCTGGAGTTGTTCAGCCTGGGGGAAAGAGGGATTTTGGGAGACCTTTTTGTGGCCTTTCAATGCCTGAAGGGAGCAGACTTTTTAACAGAACCTGCTGCAATAGAAGAAAGGGTAATGGTTTCAATATAACAGAGAGTTGTTTAGATTACAGATAAGGAATTTTTTCTTTTACAATGAGCATGGTGAAGCTGGAACAGGTTGCCCAGAGAGGTGGTAGATACCCCAATCTTGGAAGAATTCATGGTCAAACCAAACAGAGCACTGAGAAACCTGATCTAGGTGCTCATTGCAGGGATGGTTGGGCAAGATGACCTTGAAAATTCCTCCCTACCCAAATTATTGTATGATTCCATGAAAATCACATAAAATAAAATACATATAGGACTATAATAGCAGATCTGTTTGTGCCTAGGAAACTTCAGGATACTGGAAAGAATTAATTATTTGCCACGTAATAATTCTTTCGTATTTTATAATTGAAGCCAGCTCTATTTTGTATTTGACATGTCCAAGCAAACTCTCTACTGTTCTGTTTTTTTTCCCTAATTCTATTCTATTAATGAAAGTTTTTTAAATTATGTGGGCTGCAGCAAATGCAGAACTTCACCTATAATGATTTTCTTTTCCCACAAAAAACACATTGAACTCACAGTAGTTTTCTTCTATCATTTGATCTCTTAGCTATTAAAATGTAATTTAACCCTTATAAGGGTTTGGAGATAGAGGTTTTATTGCTAATTTAGATATTTCCCAGGTTTCTATTTGCAACTTAGCAATGGTTAACTTGGTCTTATCATTAGCTTCAGATGTAGTGCAAAACATTTTAGAGGCAGGGTTTTTTTCACTCCAGCCATTTTTCATAAAATTTTATAGGGAACAGAGTGAGGAAAGTAGCTGGATAAAAAAGAGATGGAAGGTTTAGGATTGCTAGTAAGGATCCTCTCCTTCCCTGTCTAACCACATGAGTAGCAACTGTGGGAACTTCTGGAACTGGAACAGAGGGATGTGTCTCTCACAGTTTCAGCAATATGATCCAAAGTTATCATTCTCTAATTGCAAATGTATCTGACATTTAGCATTATTAAGCTTCATTTTATTGCTTTTCATTTAGGTCCCTGAATCCATTTAGCAAGTTGTGATTAATTTTCAGAGTTACCCACAGTCAGTAATTAAAAAGAAACTTTATATCCATATAATAGACAGGAGTGCACTTTAACATTACTTAGGAGTCTTAAAAAGGCAAAATATAAGAGCAAATATTTTATTTAACAACTTTCCAATACTACTGCAGGAAAAACTTCTTGACTTAAACACATCTTGCCACATGCACCTTTGTGCTTGAGGGGAACCTCTTAATCCAATGAGATGATGAAAGCTGTGACCAGGTTTATATGTTTGCCAGGATCAGTATTTCCTTAAGTTTCTAGAAATAAAAAGTGTTTTCCTGCAGTGGAGTTGGGTAAAATAGATGTCAATAAAGAGAATGTATGAGAAGAAGCTGCTCTGGACCTTCCTGTAACAGTTGCAATGCCATGTTACACAACTTTTATGTAACTCCTGACTGTACTCTCTAATAAAAATTATCCTTGGTGCTTTACTTTAATTTTATAAGCTGTGCATATGTACAGTACAGAGTGTACTTTTATTCATATGCCAAAGATCTGCAGCCAAATAATTTACTATAGGCATAAGACTATTTTAATAATTTAAGCCCTTAATCTTCTTGATTAGTTTCTCTTGCACACACACTCTTTGTCTCACTGACTTTTTAGTTGTCTGGGAATTGCTATGCACGCAATCTGATTTCAACATAAACATGCTATTTCTTTTTAAAAATATTTTTTTAAAAATAGTGATATGTAATGCATTCCTATAGTTATAGACTGAGGAAAAGAATTATAGTAAATTTGCCATTTTTAAGAGAAAAATTGTGATTTCTCTGTTTTCCTGCATGAGGTTTTCGAAATTAGAGTGGAGATAGAGAGCATTATTACTATAAAAGATTTTACGTCATTAAGATTTACCAAATTTAATCAGGCATATACAGTCTACTTTATCCAGGTTATCAGAGCTCTTGCCCATGATCTGTTATTTTTCACTAAGCAACGTGGGAGCTTGGAGGACTGAAATGTTTCATACCTGCCTGTCTTTGACAGCCTGAAGGAAAGGACATGTGCACTGCAACTGCCAACAGAAACCTCAGTGAGGTTTTTTCCCCCTTAGCTTTCAGCCTGTGTGTCTACTTCTGTTATTTCCTACATAAATTAACATTTTCTGGTAGGATAAACCTGTTATTAGGAAAATAAATTTAAAACAATTTGAAAAATACCTGTTAAGGATCCTTGAATAATTAAATATGGAAGAGCATTTCAAAGGTATTTGACATTTTGGATGTTACCTGTTGATTTAATTGATCACTGTCATTGTGATATGCTGTTACAACTTGAATTATTCTTTGCCATAACTTTGTTTTCTTTTACTGCAGGTTTAAGATTTTTAAGAGCCCTTAGACTGATACAGTTTTCAGAAATCTTGCAGTTTCTGAATATACTTAAAACAAGGTAAGACTTTTTCTTCCATGCTGATTTAGTTGCATTGGTAAATGGCTTTGATTTGGGGCCTAGTAACATATGATTTTCTTTTCTGGAAAAAAAAAACCCACTTGTTATCTGTTCTTTAAACCTTTTTCTGCTGATGAATGATTTATCAGTGACAGCATCTTTTGCTACGTGATCATTTTAATTGATGCATTTTTATATTTGAAATACCAAGCAAGATTATGTGTTGATAAATTAAAAGCAGAATTAATTACATAGCTTTGTACTGATTAAACATTGCTTCTTTTCATCTTCTGCTGTCTTGAAAAAACTGAAATCAAAATTCATTCAAAAGAAAACAGTTAAAAAGTATTTTGAGAAATTCTCATTGTGGCTCTTCCAGTTTTTTTTTTTTTAACTGAGCGTCGTTTTTCACATAAAAAACATTAAATAAAAAAAAAATTAAATTTTATCATTAGAAACATCTTTATATTGTGTTCATTATCCTTAGTGTTTCTTCCACATAGTAATTAAAATACTCCAATTAACCTTCTGGCTTACTGGTTCTTTGGCCTATTAGCAAAAGATCATTTTGAAGGAAATAAAGAGAAATCTTCCCATGCCTTGCAGTTGAAGACACATTGTTTTTCATCATTCTCTAAAATGCTCCAGGGGAAGTATTGAACCCAGCTTCCAATAACTACTGTAAAATCAATTCCATTTTGAAAACCTTCCCTCTCTGCACCAATTGCTATTGATGTGTGAGGGCTTTATATGCAGGTAAATCCATTTCTTGCTGTGATAATTTGTAGCAATGGGAAAACAGGTACTGAAATTTGTACACATTCACAGTAAACAGCTGTTGCTTCAACCCTTAACCTTGAAACTATTCTCTGTACTGTAAAACTCTCACACTATCTGTCTTCAGTTATGCTACTGGAAGGAAGCCAATTCTGGTCAAACAAAGGCATCAAAGAATGTAAGGTGAGGTCCCATAGCTCAGAATTCTCGGTATGGGAAAGGAGAATAAGATTTAATATGCAGAACAGCCCTGCTGTAAGAACAGTGGAGAAGCCCCATAAACTCAAAAGATTTTGGATAAAACCTAATAGCCCCTTCAGTAGTGGGGAATTTGTGAAATTCCAGATCCAAAAATGTGCATTAATCATGTTCAAGGTACTCAGAGTTGGTTTATTTAAGATTGACCTGTTGATTGAAGCAGCCTTTCTCTGGTGCAGAATTTGCTCTTATATTAGATATCATCATCTCTGTGATTATTTATACGACTGCCAAAATATCTATAAATCTCAAATGTTGATTATTGAAAGCCTGTAAGGTAAAACTTTCTTATATGAGTGTTTTAGTTTAGTCAGTTAATTCATCCTTAGCAGTTCATCACTAACATCATTTATTTAACTGAAGAATTGTCACTGCCTCAAAACAGTTTTTTATGTCTCTCTCTGTTCCTGGTAATGCAATAGAAAATCATGTCTGCTCTCTTTATTGTCTTAATAACCTGAAATGAGATGAATAATTTGGAATGTCAGCAATGTTCACAAAACATTTATTTTTTTTTATGGACGTGTCAAATTAAAACAAATTAACAGAATGCAATTTAGTTTAGAAGAGTTTCTAGTTACACCTGACATAAATTTGATTGTGTGAGTGCTTGGGGTTTCTTTTAATGTCTTGCATGAGTTTAGCTTTTAGAAAGCAACAAGCTAAAAAATTCATTTATTACTGCTACTGCTACCTTCAATGAGGAAATTTTTGTATTTTCAGTGTATTCTGAAGAACCATCAGAACTGCAGTTCATGTGCTGCACACACATTTTCTGTTACAGTACCAGAATACTCTTTAATTGAGAGCTTCTGGTTCTGAATTATTTTGCTTCCTAAAAAAATAAAGTGTGCTGAGCCCTTGTGATTAATGGAGCATTTTTAAAAATTTTGTACCAGTTAGAGCAGTTAAACTAGTAGTCTCAACAAATCTAGTATTATTTAAATGAAATTTGCTTCTCTAAATTCAATCAATGATTTCAATTATGTTCTGTGGCCTTATTATTACTTTATTATTATTAGACCTTTATTATTACTTTAAAGCTTTTGGCCTGCTACCGCAACATTATTTTGCTCAGGGATGGTTAAAAATCTTCTAGAATTAAGATATTTTAGCATGTTTTACAGTCCACTTCTAAGGTTTTATTTAAATTTTTGACATTTTAGGATTTTTGTGAACATAAAGACTAAGAGTCAATGACAGAACTTGAATTGTTGAATTAGGATAGAAATTTCAGTATATACTAGCTCAGAAATTATAGTAGGGGGGAAAAAAAAGAAGTGTTGATTATTTAAAAATCCAGCAAAAAAAAAGAGTTCTCTGAGGTGATATGTATTTATGTGAAAAAGGTGTGGAACTAATTTGACCTAAGCATTTTAGTGCATTTGGCATTGATAACACATAACAATTGAGAAGATGAGAAAGTGATAGGGTATACTGGGCACTGCTATGTTTTTAATATTCAGTGCAATTGCACGGAAATTTTCTCTTCCTTTTCTCTTTTCTCCAGTAAAGAAAAACTGTAACCTATAGATGAAAATTACTCCTGGAATTATTGACTGAGATATGAAGATTAAAGGAACATATATTATTTACACAGTGAGCAGAAGGGCCATTCCAAAAACTGGAATCCAGTGAAAGAAGCTGCACAATGGAAGAACAGAGGCAGTAAGGAGACTAGCAAAGTGTTAGGTGATTATTAGAATATCCGAAAAAGAAAGCTCAATATATTTGAAAAGATCCTGTAAGACAAAGCAAAATTTTAGTGGCATTTTAAAAGTCTGTACTCTGCCAAGGACTCGTTTGTTTCCCGAATTTGAAGTTAAATGTATTTTACTCAAGACTTTTTGTTCCCATGTTTTAGGAAATTGAATTCTACAGTTTTCAATTGAAAAATTTCCCTCCTTCATTGTTTTCTAATATTTGTCAAAAAATCTGCAGGGGCTTAGGCAGGGCTCACAGTAAGGGATTTTGCACAGATGTTGGAAAGAGCTTAAAGAGGGGGAAAATGTTTATGACTAATCCTTCATCTATATTTAGACTCTGGCAGAAATACAGGGAGTATTTCATAGAGGACAGACAATCACAGTGTTTAATAAATCTTCAAAATTAAAATGTACCAAATAAGTCATGAAAATAGTTATTTTTAATGGGTATTACAGTGACATGAAGAGACCAACAGACACGTAATTTTTTATCAAGAACATCTCGTGTTCTAAGCTCAGGTGAAGGATGATATTTAGCCTTGCTTTGCATCAGCATCATTCCTATGATTTTTTCTAATCTAGTAACCCATTGGTTAAGGTCCTGCACTATAAATGAATGTTACCACTAAGAAAATAGGGACTTTAATCAACCATAGTTTAAGAAAGAGAGAAATAGGGAATATATGTTGGTGTTAGTGAACACTAATAACAAGACTGCTGATATGCTATTTTATTTTTGAGTACAGTATTCATTTCATCATCTGTCATACTACCCAGTCATAGTCTATTTCTTATACTCCCATATGTCTACTAACTGTAACTTTTAAAAATATCTTTTAAGGAGCTGCACTGCTTAATTTTAAGGTAATTTTGTTCAGAAAATAATGCATTTTTATTGTCCTTAAAGTGGCTATAAACAGAAACATTTATTCTGCCCAAAATTACTATTGCTAGCACCGAGAGTGAATTTTTCGCAATTTTTATATTTTTCAATGTATTGCTTTAAGGATTAGTGTAGTGTCCTTTCTGAGGTGTTATACCTTCTTATAAATATTTTCAAAAGCAAGAATGGGTAAGATTGTTTAAACACAGTCATACATGGACAGCAGTTCCTTGTGTTTCTGTCAAATACCCTTCTTAGGACAATGACTTTTGTGACAAGAGTCACAAAAAGTCCAGAAGATTTTAAGTATGGTATTTTCCTGCTGAACTGAGTGAGGTCCTTGCTTCAAAATCAATTCTGGCTAGAACAGGTAAAATACTATTTGGTGTGACTAAAAAGCATTTGTAGATTTTTTGGTAGGTTTAAATTATACTTTTTTCTTTTTGTAGAGAAAAATGTGAGTGTGAGGTATGAAATACTCTAGTTTCATGTGAATTTTCTGTAAAGAGTTCCGTAGGAGTTCATGCAAGCAGAATAATATGAAAAATTCTTAGGACTTTACACAGGAGCTGTAAAATACCTTAGTTCTTTAATCTGGGAATCCTAATGTTCTCATGTATTTTTTATGTATTTATATGTGAATAATTTTGAGTGTGTAGCAGTGAAAAATGAAGAGGTGAGTTACTGATAGGCAACCAGATTATCTGAGAAAAAGCATTATTTATTTCTATTAGTTTGTTTTTGACTACTGATGAAGCTAAGCTTTCTGTTTGTCTTTCTGCTCTCACACACTGGGACTTTCTTTTCAAGGTATCTAAATTATGAAAATGTGAACTCATTCTTTTGGGAAATAATCATCAGGTTTTTGAATCTAAAGTTTGCAGCTGTATACAGGTACCTATAAAAAAATGTGACAAATTCTAGTCTAATCTCCTTTTTGCTGTGTTTATTTCCAGTAATTCCATCAAGCTAGTGAATCTGTGCTCTATATTTATCAGCACGTGGCTGACAGCAGCTGGGTTCATACATTTGGTGAGTGCCTTTGGGAACACTTCATTGACTTTCGCAGCCGGCCCGTGCTCTCCGAGCCGCTTTGGTGCCGGCACCGCGCTGCTCTCGGCAGTGCCGGACCTCGGCACTGGAGTGCAAGAAGGAGGCGCTGTATCCCAGCCCCGCAGCCGGGCTGGCTGTGCTCTGGGGAGGCGGAGATGTGGAGTTGTGTTTTTAGGTTCCGCTGTATTTATGGATGCCGTGCTCCCCGCAGCTCCGCTCAGCAGCCAGGCGGGTCACATAAAAACTGCACCCAGCTAGGCGGGATTGCATTCACACTCCTGCTTCTCCTGCTGCATCGGTCATTTAATGTTCGCCCTGATAGAGATGCGCAGAGATTTTCAATGTTTTAGTTTATGATCTATTTCTCATTCATGTAGAATGGGCAAATGTAGCATTTCAATCTAGAAACAATACCCTTTTCGATTTTTGAATAAACAGAGCACAACACCCCTTAAATACTATATCAAGACCAAGGGAATGCTATTTTCTAGGATTTGGGGGTTTTTTCCCTTTGTTTTTCAACAAAAGCTTTTCCATTCTACTGTAGGAACACTCAAACTTTAACTTCTTACTATGGAACAAAGTTTAGATGGCAAACTGCTTTCCCACTGACAAATTTATAATTTTGTCTCAACAGTGTCTGGCTTTTTGAAAAAGTAGTAGCATTCCACTAAAGGCGGAATTCTTTCAATAGTTACATAATCTTTTAAAACAAAAACATTGAGCAGTATAATTGCATTAAAAGTAAGATTTACTCTGAAAATATTCTGAACACGTTTTTATTAAATGAACTTACCAAGCTACATGAGTAAGTTACATTATTTAGTGGTGCCTGGAAAAGATACTTCCCATAAATTATCTGAGTAGCAAGGCTGTATATATTGGCAAAAGAACTGCAGTGCTCTATTTGACACAGGAATGGGTTCTGTATTTGATGAAAATAAATCACAGGAAAGGATTCAGAGTTCATATCATTTGCCAAATCATATATCTATATACACACACAGGCACATGCATATATGGGTAGAGTTAATTTGGGGTTAATTAGAGTCAGTTATAATTAATGTAATTCATTATATGTTTTCTTGTACATTGTAGGTGGAGAACTCAGGGGATCCATGGGAAAATTTCCAAAATAATCAACCGCTAACTTATTGGGAATGTGTTTATTTGCTGATGGTTACAATGTCCACTGTTGGCTATGGAGATGTTTATGCAAAAACAACCCTTGGTCGCCTTTTCATGGTCTTCTTCATCCTTGGGGGATTGGTAAAAATTCTTCTTTATACTCTTCTTAATACTCCTGTTACCTGAAAACTTGATCCTCTATATCTCAGTGTTGTAATTAAGGGAATAATAATATTTGGATTATTAAACTGAAATTAATTATAAAATATTAAAGTATGTTTAATATGCATTTTTTCCTGTAGATAAATATTTTGGCAGAGCTTGTCAAATTAGCGTAAAATTAGTCTGGAATTAGAATTTTTCTAATCCATTTAAATGAGTAATGCATGTGAATATATGAAGTGACTTAATATTTCAACACACAATGTTATTTGTAGTCCTCTACTTCTTAGTTACTGACTGTAGAGCGTTTTTGGGGGTTGCTATTGATATTTAAAGGCACTTTGCGGTTTCAGAAGTCCTACCCACCCTTCTGTGTTCCTTCCCAGAATTCCAACAAACACTGTGGCTTTGGACTGCCTTAAAGAGCAGCTTGCCTGATCCAGATGATGGCAAACCATATTCTCCTTAATTTCAAACATACTTTCATGTCATGTAGTACAATTTTAGCTCACAGTTTATCACATGACCATAACCAGTATCCTTTTATATCAGCAATTTCTCTTTGTCCTGTATGTAAGTAGCACCCAAGTTACTGTTTGTCTTGACAACTTTTCCATTATATGTCAGTGCTAGTAATATTATTACACCTATTGCAATGGTTTCTAAAGTAGCAAGGTTTATTTTAGTATTTACCCTGTGCAAGGTAAATGCTATGCAGATGACGGGTAATGTATATTGTGCCCATACATGCGTATGTGCACTGTTACCTTACCCTCACCCATTGGTTTCACATGTACATACATCTCACAGAGGTGATATGTATGTAACCAGTATTATGAATGCCATATATTAGCCACACACAGATATGTATGAGCATTACATATATGCATTCTCATCTCTGTTTATTGACATGACAAACCATGTCAAATGGCAGTAGCTCTTCGAAGTATCCAGCCACAATGAAGCTGTTTGTTGGACAAAACATGGCAGAATAATTTTTATTTTCTCCTCAAAACCTTTTTTCTATCACATGTTATTCCAGTCCTTATAAACCCAAGAACTTTTGGAAAAGTTTCTTTTTTGGGGGCGGGGGGGTGATTTTTTTTGTCTCTTGATGGGGAAATAACCCCTGATTTAATCTTGTTTTTGTCTTCTTTTAAATTCTTACAATGGGGGGGAAAAGTCTGTATTTGAAAACAGAAATTTAACAGTAACAATACTTGGCTTTGGTTTTTTTGCAGTGGGGCTGGGATAGGTTTTTTCCCCCCCTCCCCTCTCCAGGAAGAAATAGACAACTGTTTTTTGTGATTAGATACTGGTTTGAAGTAATTTTGTTCTTGTTTTGTTTTACGTGTCTATTTTTCCTCTTTTGGCCATTTTCTTTATTTTTAAGGTATGTACCCTCTGTAAGACCAGCTTTTACATTGAGCCCTCTTGTTTAATAAGAATTTTTTTCATTTTTTTTCAATTTTATTTTTAAACAACTGCATAGATCTAATTCTTTTGCATTTTCAGATCTTAAAAATATATATCTTCTGAAAATATTCATCATCCCCCTTCTTTGGCCTCTCTTTTTAGTCTTTTCTTCTGTCTCCTATCTTCTTCTTAGGCCATGTTTGCCAGCTACGTCCCTGAAATCATAGAGTTAATAGGAAACCGCAAGAAATATGGTGGTTCCTATAGTGCGGTTAGTGGAAGAAAGTAAGTATCCCAAGAGGCTCTGCTGCCTCTGCTGCAGTAGAACACTCTCTGCATGCCATTTTCTTTTTTTTTTTTTTGTGTTTTTGTTTCATGCATGTAGGCAATGTTTGCTCGCTACGTGCCAGAAATTGCTGCTCTCATCCTTAATCGGAAGAAATACGGCGGAACTTTTAACTCAACCCGAGGCAGAAAGTAAGTCCAAAAAGACCAGGTGTGGTTGTGGGACTCTAAAGAGCCCCTGAAGGTGGTAACAGCTGACTCACAGCTTACAAGGCTGTGTTCTTTGACATCAGATGTTACCACTGGAGAGTTGTCACACTATAATTAGAGACCTGGGCTGTGCTATGGTACAAGTCACAACATTTTGTCCCTACTTCAAGAGAACCTGGATACCACTCAGACTACTCTGATATATCTTGTAAAAAGTGCTGCTATTACATAAGCAGTTAACTTCTGTAGCAAGGGTGAGTTGTCACTTCACCATTTTGAGCATCAGAATATTGTGTGCTTTGTCTCTTAACTAAGTGACAATGATAATTTGCATGATTTTCAGACAACTCAGTTCTGCAGAAAACTTTGTTTTACTGGATGCAAAATAGGAGATACATATTTACCAGTTTGTTCAGTTGGACTGACTATGTAAAAAGTCTAATAGCCCTGTTTCTCAGTGTTCAACCAGTAGTTTCAGATCTCATACCGCTTTTTCTGACTTTCCATGGATATTGCAAACTCTCATGAGTTTAGAATCTGTGACCAGGGATCTTAAAGCAATGCTCTTCCCTGTATTGCATTAAGCATATCTGAAGAAGAGCAGGCAGTAGCATTAATATAAAAACAGTATGGTAAAAAACCAAACACACAATTTTTACCCAGTGGCAAAGGTTAAATTTTATTGGACCACATTACCTCATTACATTTGTATTGAAAGCCTGCTTGTTTTCTTGACCAAGTTAAAGCTAGCTCTTTCTGGCATCCCCAGCCCCTGGATGTGCTGGGATAAAGCCTTTACTGAACTAGATGTCCTTGGTGATAAACCACCTTTAGTGTTGCCATCCTTCATTTCATTACATACCATTGTGACATCCACTGGTAGAGTCTATTTGCCCTGAAAGTCCAGTCAGATAGAGAGTCCTTTACATACGATATAAATAAAGTACTCCAAGAAATTTATCTAATGAATTGTCCCTCTCTTCTTCCTTTAACAAGATAATTTTTTACTTTGTTCCTTTCAAATCATTACCCATGCAACATTTTATTAAAGTGGATTATGCTATTATCAAGTTATTTCTCCTCTCTATGTAGCAGAAAGACTGTAAATGTCCCACAGAGCTAATTTTAGAGTACTATTTTGTATCTCTGTGTAGATAAATCAAAGTTTTAAAATAAGTTGTAACTTTTATACTATTTTTTGTTCAATAATACTCAAGCAATGAGATAGTAAACTTCAATATATACATTTATTGAGATACAGTCAAATGTCTAAGGTAAACTGTAAACACTGATGTTGGAAACTTTCATCACTTACCTAAACAAACTAAATGCCTTGATTTTTTTCTGGGAATTTGTTGCTAATTTCCCAAAATATTTTTTTGTGACAGAGGTCAGGACAGTTTTATATTTATATTCATACTTGTTTTCACAAATAGAAGTTTTTCAAACTCAGAACATATCCCACTGTTTTCAAAGCTCTAAAGGAGTTATAGCAGAGGGAAATATGGTTAAAACCTGTTTTGCACACAGAGTTTGTCCCTCCCCTTCTACATTGTCACTAGTACCCAGCATTGCTCAGATGTCTCTAAATTTGGACCTGATCTTCAGTCAGAACTCCACATCCTGAAGAGCTCAACTTCAGATTACAGGCTTCTGCTAGCTTTGGGGCGTGCTTAATTTTATTTCTTCACTTTTTTCTTTTTTTTTTTTTTTGTCTGTCTTTATATGTACTCTCTGTTTTTATCTCACTCTGTTGTCAGTGCTTTCTCTGTTGATCTCTACTGCTCATATAATTTGTTGCTTGAAACTCATCTCTGTCATCAGCATACAAACTGTTCAATTTACTTTATGCATTGTTTTCTGGTTCAATTATTAATTACTAAGTCATTTAAAGATATCCTTTGCTCATGTGGGTCTTTCATCAGAGAATCTAAACTTGGGAACTGCACAGTAAAAAGCCATTAGGACTCCTTGTTTGATGTTGCTTTTGCAGTCAGTAGAACAAGATTGATGAAATGTTATGTTTGGCCAAAATTGAAGTTTTCATTTGGAATTCAGTGTTGAGAGAATGGATTGTCAGAACCAATAAGTTTTCCTTTGCTTCGGATATGGGCATGTGGTAGTAATTAGCAGGATAACGTCTTTAGTTGAGCAACCAAGCATAGATTCTGGCAGCAAAAATAATGAGAAACTACAGTTGTTCTAATGTCAGAAAGTTTCCAGATTAAATACATTTCTAATATGAAAACAGTTGAATTTTGGTGAAAGATATAGTTTCAGGCTTTGAAACAGAAAATATGTACTTTTTAACTCTGTACAAAATAGATAAATACATAGAATCTGTTTTGTTACGTCTATATATATGTTTATACATTGTCATGGTTTAACCCCAGCCAGAACCATGCCAGGAAACAGCACATGTTGCCTTCTAAACTCAGTGTGTGTAATAACTTGATTATTAAATGTTTAGGTCCAAAATTAAAACCAGTGTATGATTATGTATGTTGTTTTGAATTTTGCACTAAGTGATTTATTGATACAAAACTTCACTAAGAAGAGAAATAACAAACACATAAAATTTGAACTCACATTTCATTTTGCTTTTCAGCCAATAAAGTCCCGAAAGGATCATAAACTATACAAGATTCATTTTGCATAATAAAGAACTTTCTTTTTGCCTTAGATGAGACCCATACATACAAACTTTGGAAATAAAAGTACTTTGTAGACAGTTAGCACTGGTTAAACTTACTAGATAATGGGTTCATTTAGTTGTGACAGTCCAAGAGAATTTTTTAGATTTTAAATTGAGTTATAATTCCTGCTTTGTAATATTATTGTAAGGAGACTTCTAAGGAACAGGAATTTCTTTATAGTCTTTGATTGAAGTTTCATCTTCAGCTATTAAATAAATAGCAATACTTACTGTTGCATTTATACCAAAATATCTATACCAATATATCTATACTAAATGTAACTGAGGCCAGATGTACACATGTAATGATGAGTATTTAATTTGACAGTTATAATCTTTTTAAAGTTTTAATTTGACTTTGTTTTGGGCTTTTTCTCTGAATTATTTGTAAAATTCATGAGTTAATAGTCAAGGGATCATTTTAATGTGAAGTACCATAAAAGGATGAAAAGGCATCTGCCCCTCTGTCACCATAGCTGGCTTTAGAACAGAGCATTAGACCTGCAGGTTTGTTCATGCATTCGTACCCCTGGAAGGCCAGAAGGGGCATTGATCACTTTGGATGAATTTCTAAAGTGCTGTAATTACCTACTTTTCTGTAATGTTCAGGCTTTAATTCTTTTGAAATAAGAATCTTTTTTTTTTTTTTTTTTTTTTTTTTTAAGAAAGTCTTGGGTTTGGATAAGTAGATTTATGATATAGCACTATTTTTGTAATATTTTGGAACTTACATATTTGGTTCCAGCCCAAATAGTACTTACAAGATCATCTGTGTTATTTTAAGGAAAAAAAAACCCAACAAGTTTTTTTTGCTTATTTGTTTATAATATTTATAATGAGGTGTGGTATGTGATGTGGTTAAAGATCCAGATCTGTTTTACCTCTACTAATCCATAATTAAAATTTTATTCTGTATTTGCTAACTTACTTTTGAATCAAGATTGTTCTTGTTCTATTTCTGTATTTGAGTGTGCATACAATCAGACTGGATTTTAATTCTGTGAAATATTTTCCATTTGAAGATTTTAACTTATTGTATAAAGCATGCACAAAGCTGTAGAAAGCATCTGGAAAGAACATTTGTTAGCTGATGAACTCAGCCTAGATCACTTACTGATTTTTTTCAGTCTTTACATTGAATTAATGACTTCTGATTCCATGGACTAAATTATTTTTATACAAAACTGCTATCAAATCTAATGCAAAGTCTTTATGACGGCAGAAAGTAGGAACCAGCTTTGCATGAATAGGTATGGCAGAGAGAGCAATGACCTGGCTGAGCAGGGAGGTTGGGCCAGAAGAGCCGCAGTGGTCCCTTCCAACCTGGCCCTTCTGTGGTTCTGGCTATGTTTATATAAAGTGCTTGCTTTGTCACCATAGTACAGGTTTATGCTAGACTTCATTGCAGATTAAAGAGATGTAAAAATAAATGATCCAGAGGCATTATTGTAGTTAATATGTAAGATTAAAAATGCATTTTAATGAAATTGCAGTCCTATACTGTACCTCCTGTTTCTCTGCTCTCATGATCTGCTCTGCTTCCCAGACATTTCTACACATTTCTTAAATTTACAAGCCATAAATTACCAAATCATCACCATATCAACAGGAATAATCATCTGTTAGAAATTCCTTCCAGAAGGAAACATGGGATTCAATAACTAAACTTCACAGAGGAAAATAAAAACTGTAGACAGATAGATATGGTAAACAGAAAGACAAACAGATAAATTTAAGTTGACAGGCCATATTGGACTCATTAGACATTTGAATTTCATTACAAATTAGAAAAAAGAAATGTTAAAACTTAACCAAAGAAAAGGTCCATTTACTGCAGTAATGAAGGCATAGCTCCAAAGAAAGTGACATTAAATTCTTATATTAAATAATTTGATGCAATATGTAAGATATTATTTTTTCAGTGGGATGAGAATGTAATAAGAGAATGTGACATGGATTACATTATGATCCCAGGGGTGTCTCTATTTCCCATCTGCTAGCCATTCTTCTAATCCCACTTTTTCAAATGAAATTTCACTTAGTGATAAAGAAAATCTGATGAGTGTTAAATAGACTGACAGATAGAAGAAATAGG